GGCCTTCCACACCTCGCAGATCTCGCACATCTCGTCGCTGAGGACCTGGGGAGAGATGGGCAGCTGCTCAGAGGGGCAGCGTGGGCAGGGGGCTGGCTTCTCAAGGTGGGGATCAGGGTGGTGCTTCGCAGGTGGGGATGGACGTTGGGGGGCAGAGGGCTGGGAGGGTGGGATTGCATGGGGCTGGCGTGGGGCAGAGGTGGGTGGTGGGGTCATAGGGGGCATGGCTGATGGGGTTAGAAGAGGGTCATGGGTTTGTGGGGATGAACGGAGGGTGTATGGGTCTGGCTGTAGGGTTGGTGGGGCTGTGGGGTTGTAGGTGCTCCGGGGTGCAGCGTTGTAGGTGTGGATGGCTGGGCTGTGGGGCTGTAGGTTGGCTGGTCTTTAGGGTTGTAGCGTGGGTGTGTGGAAGCGATCCGTGGGTTGGCTGGTTGTAGGTGTGGACGGACGGTAAGCTGTAAGGCTGCAGGTGGGCTGAGGTGTAGGCTTGTCGGGGAGGGTGGATGGATGGGTAGGGTCATGGGTGTGGATGGGTGGGCTGTAGGATTGCGGGCATGGGTGGATAAGCTGTTGGGTTGTAGATGGGCTGGGCTGTAAGGGTCACAGGTGTGGACGGACAGCTTGAGTTGCAGGCTGGCTGGCTGTAGGGTGACAAGCACGTAGATGGAATTGTCCTTCTCTCTTCCCCAAAGCTGGAGCTGCCTGTGCCCAGCAGTGACCTCTCCTCTCCAAGACACCCAGAGATCCCTCCAGGGCACATCTGACCAGTCGCACCCTCCTCCCTGCGTGGCATCTCCAGCTGCCCAGCCCGGCCCCCGGCCCCCTGCCCCACTGAGCCGCCTTCATGGGGTTTGTGCCCGGGGAGGCTGTCCTTGCCTGGTGGGCACCAGGAACACTTGCACATCCCTGGGCTCTCCCCTGCACATCTCCAGCCCCGTCCCCGTCCCTCCCTCCCTGTCCCCGTGCTCCGTCTCCTTGCCTGCTCCCGCTGTTCCAGGCTGATGTCCGGGGGCTCGTCATCGTGCAGCTCCCGCTTGGGCCGGATGAAGGCGGGTGGTGTGAACCTGTTGGCTCGGTCAAACTCCTCCGGCTCCACGCCCCGGCCATCCCGCAGCCGTTCCCAGGCCGCCTTGCTGGCGCTGCTCTCCTCCGGCTGGGAAGGTCCCGTCGACGCCTCCTCCTCCTCTCCCTCCTGCACTGCCTGCTCCAGTGTCCCCCGGCGCGTGCCCCCCGCCTCCGCCCGCCGCCGTGTCGACGGCTGCTCCCGCAGCCCGTCCTTAAAGGCTGACACGGCCAAGCTGACCTTCTGCACCTTCTCCACCGTCTGCCGCCTGGACATCAGCACCCCCATGGCTCTGCGGGGGGAAGGAAGGCGCTCAGTGCTAAGGCCTTGGGGTGCAATGCTGCTCCCCACCCCTGCACCATGTCCCTGGCCCCAAAAAGGTGTCCCGGTGACTTTCCCCCCGCTGGGCGGGGAGCAGCTCAGGGCAGGGAGAAATGGGAGCTCCTTGGCAAGCTGGCACTGGGGTCATCCATGGTGGCTATGGGGAGGTGGACCCAAAGCCACGTGGAGATCTGGCCACGGAGGGTCTGAGTGTTGGTGGGGGAGTGGGACAGCAAGCAGGGAGCTGGTTTGGGGGCACACTGTCTCCCCCACCCTTGCTCTGTAGACTCCAGCTTGACAAGAGACACATCCAGGCCCTTCCCACACCAGACCAGTAAATCCCAGAGGGATTGAGACCAGCTGTAACCCTGCCCCTTGCGTACATCTCCTTTCTGCCTTGGAGAAAGCCTCTTTGGCCAGCCAAGGGTGAGAGGTGTCCTCCCTGCAGCCCTGCCCAGGGCTAGGGCATAGCAGAGCTGGTGCTGGGTCTCTTACCTTCCCTAAATTTCTCTACACCCCCCAGTCTCTCTCGGGCTCACGTGCTCGTGTGTATGTGTGTATGCTGCTGTCCTGATCGCTGGGCATCCTGCATCCTGCAAGAAGCCACGCGGAGAGGCTGGGCCAGCCGCGGGAGGGCTGTGAGGGTGCAGGAGGGAAGGGGAGCAGTGCATGGGTCTGGGGCGCATGTGTCCCAAGAGGGCGGTTTGGCTGCAGGACCGAGGGAAGATCATCTTAGGGTAAAGCGGGGAGGGCGACGGCAGCAGCAATAGCAGGTCTCTGTCTCAGTGGGGGTGCGCTGAAGCTGGGGAGAAGCAGGATTTGGTCTCCAGCGGCGTGGGGCACAGCATCACCCCGTGTGGATCCCGGCACTGCCCCTGTGCCCCACTGGGGCTGTGTTACGGAGGATGCTGCAGCCAAGAGGCGTTTCCAGCTGGTGCCCAGGGAGCAGCAGGCAGCACCCGCTGCCTGTGCAAGCTGGGGGACATCGGAGCAGCCATCTCCCGCCCCGCCAGCCTCAGCAGTGAAGCCCCCAGGTAGCGGGATAATTAGCAGCATGCGTGCACACGCCGGGATCTCGCGGCTGCGGGAGGACACGGCGCTGCGGGCACTGCTGCGGCAGGGAGCCTGAGCAAGGTAATTACAGCTGCCCCACATCAGCGGTGCCGAGCAGAGCGTGCTGGCAGGCGGCGGCTCGGTGCCCTTCGCTCGTCCCTACACCGGCAGATGCCCGGCCCCACGCCCTCACCCCACGACCCCCAGCCGCGTGGGCTCTGTTCACGCGCACGCGCGGGCGTGCAAACCCAAACACCGCTGTGCGCACACGCATGTGATTTCCCAGCCTCCCCCCACCACCGCGGGACCATCTGCATGCAGATTCCCACGCATGGAGCCAGGCGTGCGACACACGTGGGCCCCATCCCGCGCGCGGGGGTCTCGGCGGTGGGCACGCGTGGACGGGGGTATTTGCACCCGTTGGCCCCCATGCCCGGCTCGGGGCTGGCGCCTGGCATGCTGCAGCTCCTGGAGCTTTGCAAAGGTGGGAGCGGGGAAGAGCTGGAGGCACGTGTCCAAGCCACAGCAACAGCATCCCCGCGGCTGTGCCGGCGGCGGGGAAAGACACCTGGGCATTTCTGCCTCCTCATTGTGCTGTCACCCCCTGCCCGGGAGGCTTAGGATCCCATCGGCCGTGGGCAGGATCAGCTCTGCTGCTGGGCATCGTTGCGGCTCTGCCCGCAAGGCAGCAAGCCGGGGGCACCGCAGGGAGATCCCCCCTTTGCAGCTCCCTGCATCACGGAGCATAGGCCAGATCTGGGCCTCATCCTGTCCAAGGCTTGGGTAGAAGCGGGGAGGAGAGGGCGCAGAGGGACTGGGCTCATGGACAAGAGCCAAAAGAGGGGTGTGGGCCCCAGCTCTCGGCACACCGGTCCCCCCTGTAGCCGCTCTGGTGCTCCTGATCCCCAGTGTGCTGGCAGCATCTCCCTGCAGTGCTGCGGAGCTTTGGGTGGCCCATCCCCAGCCACCCTGCGGCACAGCAGGGCAGCCCGGGCAGCAGTGGGGCAGCTGGTGTACAGGCCTGCTGTAATCCCCCCAAAACGAGGTTTCCCTGTGTGTTCACGGTATGGTCACCCCCGCCCCACCCCACGCTGCTGCCGGAGGATCCCAGCCTGTGTCCCCGTTTCCCGTCCTCTCCCAAGGCCACCCCGAGTGTCTCCTGCCACAGTCGACACCACCAGCTGCTGCGTGGCTGGAGTCTGGAGGCTGTCACTCCTGTCACAGCTTGTGTCTGTTCTCAGCTCCGCCGGCCTCCCTCCTGCTAGTGCTGCATGGCCGGACCCTGCCTGCCCATCCAGGGGCTGAATGGCCTTACCCCAAGCTCCCTCTCCAGCCCCTGCTGCCTTTGCACAGGCCTCAAAGCTCCCTAGATGCCCCAAACCTGCTCTGCACTCTCCAGGACCCTCTTTTCCCCATGCCCTCCCTGACCCATTGGCTGCGCGAGGTGGGACATCACCCTCACACAGAGCCTGGCCCGGCTTAGGGTTCTGCCAGGCTCAGGGGGGGTCCCCCCTCTCCCGGGGACCCCTGGACGTGGGGAGGGGGGACCAGAGGCACCCTTGCCCCATAGCAGCCCAGCTACCCGAGCAGCCCCTGCATCCCCACGCGTCCCCGGGGGGGAGGTGCCTCTGCTGCTATTTGTGGCCCCCCTCCGAGGCGCCGGGTGGTCGGGACCCAGTGCCACCACCCGGCTCACCTTGGCCCGAGGCACTGGGGCCTCGACCTTGCTGTCGGGTGCCAACACGGGGGCTATTTTTAGGTCACCCCCATAGAAGAGCTAAATCTGGGCACAGGCTGGAGCTGCCTGCAAACACCCGGCTCCGCCAAGGCCTGCCGGCACCGGGTGCTGTCGCAGTGGGTGGTGGGCATCTTCCCACCCCCTTCCCTTCACCCGCACCCCTGCCCTGTCCCCTGGGCAGCACCCGTTCCCCGTGCTGTTCTGATGGGGATTTGCTCCTTGCTACTTCATCCCTGCAGCAAAACACTGAGCCAGAAAGCACTTCATCCCCCTAGCACCCATGGACTCCGCTTTCCCAGTCCCATGCAGCTCTCTGCATGGGGAAACTGAGGCACGGAGGTAAGGCTGGTGCAGCTGTTGTGGGAATCATCCTGTCTTGGGGGGGAGGATGGGGGCACTGGTGGGATGGAGCTGGTGGCCAGCATGGAGGCACCCCAGGAGGAGGAAACGGGACAAAGCATCCCGAAGCAAACAGAGCCGCCAGTTCCTGCATGGCTCCAAAATCTTCTCTCCCCCATGGCAGTGGGAGCGGAGAGCACCCGTGGCTCTTGCTGTGGTTACGGGGTGCCGGGTTTGGCTTGTGAGGGCAGCAGTGGGTGTGGGGTGGTGGGTGACATGTGGGTGGGTGTATCGCAGTGTGGTGGGGATGTTGTGGTGGCCGGGAGTGCAGGATGGATGCAGCGGGGAGCAGCGCGGGGTGGATGTGCGGTTACGGGGTGGTTGTGTTACGGGGTGGATGTGTTACGGGGTGGATGTGCAACGCTGCGGCTGGCAGCACGGGGCGGGTGTTACGACCCAGCAGGGGGTGTGCAGGCTGGGGGTGTTGCAGCGGCTGTGGGCACAGCATGGGTGGTGGCTTTGGGTGCAGCGATGTTGCAGCAGCTGTGGGTGTGGGGTGGTGGCTGTGGCAGCTCAGGGTGCGGGATGGGTGTGTTTTGGGGGCCATGGGCACAGGGCAGGCTGTTGCGGTGCCTGGCGATGGCATGGGGAGCTGGGGGTGTGGAGCCATAGGGCCCATAGGGCTGGCCATTGCTGCCCCCCACTCAGCCATGCTTGCCTGCTCCACGGTGCGTCCTCGGTGCAAAGCCCCACAAGCAAACCAAGGGCCAGCGGGCGCTTGGGCTGGTGCACACCATGAGCAGGGTCCGTGGCACGCCCTGCACCCACCCTCAAGGGGATGCAGCAGGGGTGCGCCAGGAGCAGGACCCCCTCCCAGGCTCCCCGCTGGTGGGGAAGGATGTGCCTGGTCCCCACAGGCTCCCCATGGGCCAGGTCTCCTCCCTGCCCTTGCCAGGCTGCTGGTGTTTTTACCCCTCAGTGCTGCGCCTTCCTGGGAGCAGCATTAGGAGCCTGGGGGCAGAGGGATGGGGTACTGATGGGGAGGACACCCTGGGGACCACAGGGCCCATGGCAGCCCATTCGCAGGGCTTGGTCTGAAGGGCACCGAGCAGGGCTGGGAGGAGCTGCCATGGCTCTGGCAGAGCCCTGCACACCCTGCCCACCGCTGCCTGCCTGGGGCGAGGGGGGCCGAGCAGCGCAGGCAGCAGGCTCTGCTTGGGGGGCTCCACATCCCACCTCCTTGAGCTGGCTGGGGATGCCCAGAGGGGTCCAGCAGCACCCCCTTGTCCCCTCTCCCTGGCAGATGGCACGGGCTGGGACTGTGGCACTGCTGGGGCTGCTGCTGCGAGGTGACCTGGTTGCCACGGGGCAGGGGGGTCCGTGGCTGATGGTACCATCCCCACCCTCTGGAGAGCTGCGGTGGCCTGGCGGGGAGGTCTGGGGAGCTGGCCAGAGACCCAGCTGGGCTGTGTCCCCCTCCTGGGGACACTGAGCCGGTGGCTGCTCTCCCTGCCGCATCAGGCTGCCCGTCCTGCCATGCCGTAGCAGATTTTATAGGTGTGTCGCACGTTTCCATCTCCCAGAGGGGGATCAAAATGCCGTGACAGCAGAGTCCCTTCCCCTGCAGCAAGACACGGCTCCCGCCCAGCTCCCCACTTCTCATCCTCGTCTCCCTCCCCAGCCCCTCTCCCCAGCACCTACAGCAGGACCCTGATGCCTGGGCAGGACCCTCCCACCCATCCACATCCCCACTCCCAGGCACCTCATCCCAGGACCCCCGGTCACCCTCCCCAGGACCAGGACCCCGAGGGCAGCAAGGGGACCCACCCATGGGTGTCGC